TGTTTCCCCCGTCTAGTAAAAATCTACACCCGGAAAACAAAACATTTGAAAGAAAACAACCAAGCTCAGAGAACCCCAAGGACTCCACAGTTCAACCCTGAGCTACACATGTTCTCTTCTATCAGTCATTCTCTCTCAGCCTATGATGTCCGGCTTGGGCAACAGGCCAGATGATTAATTCCTGTCACAACCAGTGGATCAACATTCGGTTTATCTAAAAAAAGCGGACCCTGCACCTGTAGGAAAATGCTAGGAAGAAAAAAAAATTAGATGAGATTGTTTCAATGTGGCAAGTTAATGACAATCAGTAGTTGTGTGGGTCTGTGGACAAGCATCAGTAAGGAGTAAAAGGAAATTAATATACTGTATTTTCCCCTTTCATATATAAATAAATACCTTTCTGCCTCCTGCTTGCAACAGATTCTTTCTTTCCAGAGGTCCTTCCATCATCTGAAGTTCCAATTTGCTTGGAAGAATCTAGAAAAAGACAGATGACAATAAACAAAGCAGTCTCTCAAAAACATAAAAAGCAATCTCTTGCAATGGAACTCACAGCATTTTTGTATCACTTTCCCCCAAATTTAGCAAAAGGGAGGGGGGAATGTTTCTTCTAGCCAAACTTGCTACAACAGTAGCTTTATTTTTTTTCAAGTAAGTACATTCCAGGTGTGCTTGTCTACAACACCTATCATCCTCCAGCCAATATGGAATTGGCCATATTGACTGGTGTTGATGAGTGTCATACTCACACACCTGGAAGGTTCTGTATTGACAGCAATCTACTTTATAAAGTGTGAGTTTTGCATTAGCTAGAAGATAAATCTATCAATTCTCTTGGGGACATTTGAAAAAGAACCATAACAATTTAAATTTTAGATAGAACGTTTCTAATACAGCTTTTCCTGTCCCCACCCCTTGAAAGTCAATCATCCTAACCTTGCTAACACATTTGCCTTCTTGGAATTTCTGCTGATCCACTGGATACATTTTTTGGAGTGATGACTCTCCAGGTGAAGCTGCTGCCACTTTACTTAGCTCCTGGCAAGATGATGTATCTGCTTTGCTGCACTGATTTGGTCTGTTTTTCCTCTTGTCAACCCCAAGACTGGCCCTTCTTTCTCCTTCTGAATTCTGTAGCATTTCGGCAGAAGTGGGAAGCTTGAACTTGGCTATCAACCAATTATCTGCAGATGTCAGGAGAAGTTTTCCACCTGAGCTGCCCGGACTTTGTTCTTTATCTATCTTTCTCCCTGGGTCAGTATGGACATCTGGCCCTCTTTTATGCTTCTCCATATTGTTCCATATGGCTTGCAGCTCTTCTTCCTCCTCTTCAAACATCTCATGAGCAGGGTGACGAACTTCTGCTGCCATGCCTTGCAACTTTGTTCCTTTGGTTATGTCTCCCCATGGGGTCACATTAAAAGGGCAGAGCTCTGAGTGAGTCAGGGTATTTTCCTCATAGCCCAATTCACAATCAAGCTTAGAAGGTTGGGTGGGGGATTTATGTCCCAAGTGCAGGAATGAAAGAGGGTGTCTTGTACTGCTTTCTTCAGAGCACTGGGTGTTTTCTTTTTCTGGTGTCTCATTCACTAAAAGATCTTTAATTCTGGTTAGGTTGGAAACTAAATCAGGGTTGCTTGTGGATTCAACAGAGGTGGACTTTAGTTTCAATCTCAAAGCATCTTGAACTTTGGTTCTGTTATCATCTAGATCTTTTTCTTGTTTCTCCTTGGAGCTACAAGTTCTACCTAGTGAGGCACCTAGTTTATCCCACTCCAAACCTATCTGCTCATGCAGTACACTGATATGAGACAGCTTGTTCTGCTTGGAATCTAGAAAATCATCACAGGAATTGTTTTGACTTGTAGAATGCAGCCTGACCTCTCCACTAGAAGCAACAAAGTAAGTTTTCTGCCTGCCATAGCTTGGGTTAACTTTCACTTCTTCAAACCAAGTGCCTTTCTTAGTCTTGGGGAGCTTATGAGAAACATCCTCTACTCTCACAAGCTTTGAATGCATTACTTGCTGTCCTCCTAAAGTTTCCTTTTGCAGGTTGATACTGGTCTCATGTGACTTTGCCTCTTCTGTACTCCTTTGGGCCACTTGATTCACCTGGTTTGCTCCCTTCCTTTCTGTTATCCCTTCCCTTGCTACCTTGATGGTATCATTGACATTTCTTAGGGCACTGAGGTCCTTGGGAAGCTCCAGGCTCAAAACAGATCCCAGGGAAAGATGCTGACATGTGTTCACCTTTTCGGTGGGTGAGTGGGGACTATGAAGACTTTTGTTTTGCTTCAGGAATATGTGCTTTCCAGATGTTTCTCTAACTAAATCACATTCAGCATCAATAGCCCATTCCAGTGGATTCTTCATATAATCCATCAGCTCTCTTTGTGGTAGGGACAATACCTGTAGGACTTGCACTCTCCTGCTGCATCTAGGTGGCCAAGTGTTACTCATACTATGCCTCTCTTCTTGCAGATAATTTGCTTTTGTTCCCATAATCCCTTGCAAAGTGAGCAGCTGGATATCTCCTGTCCTTGCTTTGGCTTTTCCTTTTGGGCTCTTTGAACAGCTGGAACTAATCTTGGGCAAGGTGTGAGAGGTTGCTTTGCCCCATTCTACCCTGGAAAATGGGAAAGAAGGAATTCTGGGAGGCAATTGCTTAACAGATTGTGATATGAAGGCTGAGTTTCCACAGACTGTGTCTTGATTTCTACATCCATTTTTCTCCTTTACATGTAGATAGGTGCTCACCTGTGGGGGGAGGCATAGTAAAGAACATCTCTGAACTGCATGAAGCTGCTGGAGTCTAAGCCATCTATTTCAGATAGCACAGCAGCAAACTTGCATTCATACAACTTTATTTATAGGCATGCACTGGCACATGCTTCCTTCTGCCAAATGTTTACTCACTCCTCACTGAAAGACCCATTCATGCAACCCAAAAAAGTGGACAATGCACAACAGGCTTATTAATGTTCTCACCAACTGAAACTCTAGCTATTCTAGTTTACTCCATTTTATTATTCCAGGCTTTGCAGGAAGAGAGGCATTGCTAATCTGGACTTGAATGTAGAGGAACTGCTACTAAATGTATCTCAAAGCATTTCAGTATAGAAGATGCACTATATTCCCCACTTTCAGTTCAGTTCAACATTCAAACCACCAACAGAGTGTAAAAAAAAGTAACAGATAAGTTAAAGTGATTAGCTGAAAGAGGCATTGGCCATTTTCCAGAAACAAAGTAATTTCTCTGGTCCATAGCTTAGATCAAAATTCAGTATGCTGCAAGACTCATTTCTTGATTTTTTTCCCCCCTTTGCAAATCCAGTAACTGCTTCACAGTGGGTCTAAATTATTGTGTTAGAGAAGACTGTTCCTCATCCAGTATATCTTCTGTGAATGTGTCAGCCTGCACTGGTGACACTAGTCCAGCATCTTCAATAGTTGTATGGAACAGGGAATCTTTATAAATGTAGGGTCTCACAGCAGAAACTGTGTAGACTTCAATTCTGTCCTTTAGTCAACTATTAAAGATGCAGGATGTGGAGGAGAACAGATACAGCATGTAGAGACAGCTTGGATAAAATACAAAATATTTAAAGTCCTATAGGAGCAGTTTTCATAGGACATCTCAGGAGTTGAGATGGAAACGATAATGCGACTCTAATTTATTCATGCCTTCATACACTGTAACCTTGGAGAAAGTGTCTGCCTGATTCCTAAAACTGGTGTGATAACTGTGATTCGATTTAGGAGTTACCTATGAAGAGTAGCAATGAGTTAGTCAGTCAAGGACCTTGCAACATGCAGCCAATCGCTCTAACATGCATCCCTAGTCCATCCCTCTCCACTCCCTCATTCCTACCTCACAGCAATTTTACCTCTTTTGCATGCTGATGGGATAGCCTTTTCTTTCTCTTTAAACTACCCAAAGTATTTTCTAAAAGTCCCTGGCAACGTTTCCAAAATGTTTTACAGGCTGAGGATTTAATTTCAGAGAGCTGGATTTTAGGAAAGAAACAAAAATGGAAAGTGAAGGAGTAGTAAGGATGACTTACAACAGCCAGCAGAGAAATGAAGGTGCAGAAAGTCAGTTGGTGCCACATAAAAAGATTGTGCTAGAAGTACACATGGCAGCTGTTTATGTGAGAAGCAGAAAACAAGAGCTAGCTTCCTTGATCCATAGTGCACATTAACATCCTATTGCTCAGTTGGGAACTTCCAAATTTTCCACTAGTGTTAGGTGCTCCCCTACTTGACATTCCTAGTTTGGAATTTCCTCACATCAGAAATTCTTGTCTCCCGTTGCTCTAGAGCAGTGTTTCTCAAACTCAGCAACTTTAAGATGTGTGGACTTCAACTCCCAGAAGTCTCCAGCCAGCATTCAATTCTGGGAGTTGAAGTCCACACATCTTAAAGTTGCCGAGGTTGATAAACACTACTTTAGAGGCAAGTTTATTTATTGCATTTGGCAATTAAGCACATCTATCTCTCTGGCAAGGAAATGGCCATGCCTTACCTTGTGCAAAGTCTCTTGTCCTTCTGATGGTGATGGTGCAGTCTGGCTTCCTGCAGCCTTTTTCTCCCCTTCCTTCCCAATGCTCAAGATCAAGCTTACTGTGCCACCCAAACTGCCAGGGGCTGTTTGTGGCACAAGTAGCACTGGGGTCTCTGAGGGTTCTAGAACCAGAGTTCCCTTAGGGACATCCACCTCAAAGGGCAAACCATTTCCTGATTCTTCCAAGCTCTGTTTGTACCCTGGAAGAACGTTTAGTGCAAATGCAGTGGAGACTGGTTCATTCTGCGGCTTATGGTGCTGTCCTTCTGAACATTTCTCTAACACCTTAAAGTTCAGGATACCATCTGCTTCAGCCACATCAGCTGTAGAATTGACTTCAATCTAGGGAGTAAGAAAACACAGTAAATAAGCCACAGTGGTAATTTGCTTCTTTTCTTTCAGCTTGGAACATAGTTATTTTTTCTGAAGTGGGATCTGGGACCTCCTTTATTCTTGACTGTACAGTTTCTTTGGGTTACGTTACTATTAAACAGGCATATGATCATGGCCTATACAAAAAATTAGCTAAGTTAGCAGCTGTTCTGCCTAGCACAATTAATCCTAGCATTAACATGTTTTATGTACCTGAGCCTCAGGCTTATTTATTTTTCTTCCTCAAAGACAACATGAATGAATATATAAGGTCAACAGCAACCCAGAATCCAAAATGGTTTCGATCTGATGAACTGGACATACCACTGTACTCAAACATAATAAACAGCATTGAGGATTGAAGTAAAGAGGAATGTTTTTATTGAAAACTACACTGATCCACACATCCCCTCAACAGTTCTGATACCATGTGCAAAAATATACTTAAAATAAGCTTAGCAGATCTATGTGGGAAAACTCCAAAATTGGAGAAAGGAAGCAAATAGATACAGGGCAGGGTTGCTGCTATTCTTATTCTTATTCTTAAAAAGGGATCAGATTAAGAAAGGAAAGGATGAGACCCAAGATGATGGATATTTAAAAATGTTAATGTAGTCATAAATATATTTCTATATTAGGTAAAGTAAGGACTTCTTCAATGATGTTTCCACAACTTCCCAGTCCAGCCCCCAGTTCTGAACCCTCCACAGTCATTATTCAAGGGTGGTCTAGATAGCTTTCTTCCTCAAAGAAGAAATGTCATTTCCTTCCAAGCCTTAATAAGTATAGACAGGCAAAGGGCCCTGAAGAAAAGGCAAGAGTTCCACTACCCTTCCAAGTTCTCAAAGACTTAAGAGGCCAGAATAAATTAAGTTGCAAGGAGAAGGCATGAGACAGCTCAGGTGATTAGTTCCTACACTTTTTCTACAGCAGCATCTTTTAAGAGGATCCCTGCATGTGATCCTTCAGCTGAGGAGCTTGCTAGAAGCATTTTACTAATTATATACCATCCAAAGAACGTATGTTATTGGGCAGTATAACAGTACTAGTATTGTACTAAAAGTAGAGGTGAAGTATCTATCATGTTGAGCTACTCTACTGCAGACTTCCTGAAAACACACACTGCCATGCTTTATTGACAATAGTACAGAAATGCTTTGTCTTTGCCTTTTTTCAGTATAGTTTTACAAATTCCTAGTGGCTATATCCTATTCTCCCTGATCCATGTTCTAACCAGGCTCAGTGCTGCTTAGCTTACAAACCCAGATAAAAGTTACAGCACTGGGCTGACCTTATGTGAGAAAATCAGGAGACCAAGCACCATTCAAGCACAACTATCAGATGTAGAATATTACCAATATGATGACAGAGCTATATCCTTTGTACAAATGTCCTCATCTTTATCAAAATAGGGTAGATTAGTAGTATTTTCTCTGTAAGTCTGAAATGAAAAGCTGTTGCCAAAGCAACAGAATTGGTACATTCAAGAATTCTGACCCCTGCTGGTGCTCTGCTTGACTTTCTTTATAATTCCAGATGCATACTACATAGTCATTATGATTCACAGCATGCTACAGGCCCATCAGTACTGATCCAAATGCAAATCTCTTTATGCTAAAACCAACTTGTAGATTATGTTCCTGAAACTTGTTTCCCTGTATCTCATCCTTTTGCCTAGATATTATAAGATTTGGTGGAGCCAATCAAAAGGTATATTGAATCAGAACATGCTTCTTAGTGAATGGTGAATTGCTGGCCTAGATAATGCTTTTGCAATTAAATCAGGAGCATTTCTATGTCACCACTGTTTTCATTGTCAATAATCTCCTTCAAAAGTTTGAAGGAGAGCCATCTTTACTTTTGCCCATTTGAAAGGCTGAGAACAAGGAATGAAAATTGTTTCCTCATCTTGAGCTATTCTATGTCCTTGTGTATAAGCAGACAGCTGATGGCATGGACAACAGAGATGTTAATTGCAGACTGTAGGGCCCAGTGCTGATGGTGGAATTTATAAGCACAAACTATATATGAATACTTCTCTAGTTCACATGCACTTACTCATAACAGTCCAGAGATACAAATCAGAGAAAAAGATAATAAAGTTAAATAAAAAGGATATCACTCAGTTCCTAGTTGTAACAAAGGCACTCACTGGTGGCATACTAACTTGGAGGTTCTGAGGGATGTTCAGAGTGCTATCCTGAGTCTCTTGCTCATCATTCTTGTTTCCAGCATCCTTTGGGGAACACTGTGCTTGACATCGTACCATCACCCATCCCAGCATGTTCTGTAGCTCCTCCATTCGCTCCTTTATCTAAAAGTAGAACAAGTGTGAAGGGGGGGGGGGACTGAAATGCCATATTACAATGCCTCTGAAATTATTTCCTTTCTCTTAGATACTGGTTTCTGTATTCTTAAGGATGCCAGGTAGCTAATAGATTTGTATCCGTCCTTTTGCATTCAAGGAGTTGGACTATTATATCCTGTTTATTTGTCTGGTTACCTCAATAAGGCCTGCTGAGGGAGTCTATCTTTTTGTCAAGAAACAACTGGTACCTTAATGATGGACAACTGTTGGTACTTCAATGATAATTGCAAAAGTTTTGTAGACCAGAGAGAGCTTTATCAGATCCCTAAAATTGATTTTTCTTCTATTTTATGTATTAAATCATGAGAGAAAGAAAAGAGGACTATCACAAGTCTTTGGACTCACCTCACATGTTCTGCTCAAGAGAGAAACCCCTCTTTCATCTTTTACTCTCCTCTTGTACTTGTTTTAGCAGACAAGAAAAGATATTCTTTATAGTTATTATTTTTCCTTCTAATTGGTCTATAAGCCAATTAGCCCCTTTCAGTGTTTCCTGTAATGTTGTTCCCTGTCCTCAGCAGCTACTCTGTGTGTGATATTCTTTGGCTGATGCTTCTTTTTTTAGATTCTTCCAAGCGACTTTATTCTCAAGCTTTTCCTACAGTCCTACCATGCTGATTCTCTGCTGCTGTTTTCCCTTGTAATCTGATTTGTGACCAGCTTTGAAACTTGTTCATCTGCTTTCCTCCCAAACCCTTGTATTAGCTTCATTCTGTCCCTTCCCACATATGCTGTCAGAAATAAAAATAAATAAAACAAAACCCTTTGTTATCCTTGTTCCAAATCATGACTCTGAAACCATTTTCTTTCTTCCCCTTCTTCAAATAAGCTATAGGAAAACGTGAATTTTCTTAAGAAATCAAAGCAATTAAAAATCTATTTGAAACTGAGTTTGTTGATCCAGTCATGATTGCTGATCACACTGAGGACTGTGATTACATGGGCTGTATTTAGTGCTTTCATTTCTATAGAGGGCAACATACAGTATATTTACAGATTTGAATGTTATCTCTTATCTTAAAGTCTAGGCTTAAATGGTAGATGCTTCAAGCCTGAATCAAAGCTTTTTAATGGTGCCAGGCCATCACCAGTTCTT